ACCAAGGTACGTGCCCTTGACTAGGAATCGAACCCAAGACCCTTCAGTCCAAAGGCTGACGCTCTAACCACTGAGAAAACCAGTCAGGGCTGAGTGCTGGTTTTAAGTTATGTTTAATCTCTCCTGAAGATGCTTCCCAGGAACCGGCTTTAAAAACCTAAGGGCCCCGCCAGGTGGCTCAGTTGGTTAGAGTGTGATCCTGCTACGACAAGGTTACAAGTCAATCCCTGGTCAGGGCACATCAAGCAGCAACCAATGAGACATAAAGAAGTGCAGCAACGAATCGATGTTTCTCTCTCTCTCAATATTAGTAAAAAATAAATAAAAACCTAAAAAAGGTAACAAAATCCATGGCTGATTCTCATTAGAATTTTAAATTACTCTTAAGAACACTTACTTTTTTCATAGCAAATAGTCTAGTTAACAGACAAAATTACAGGAAAGGGGATTAGAAAAACAGCATTTATATTCCCCCAACAGCAAGGCCTTATTTTCTCAAAGACTGAAAAATTCTTTTGTTGCTCAAGTTGAGAAATTTCAAAGTTGTTTTACTAATAGTCAGTCACCTTCAAAAGTGAGTTGTATTTTAATAGAAGTGGATGTAAAAGAGACCAGTAAATGCCCAAAATCCCCAGAAAGAGAAATACTCTAGTTTTCCATCAATTCTAGCACGCCCCACCCCAATTTTAGCATTTAAGAAATGTGACGTGTCTCACCATTTAAGCCATGTCATAGCTACCTGGCTTAGTTATCTAAGAGGTGGGTTTTAGTTACATTCCAAGGAGGCTTAAGACTTGGCATTCATTACTTGCCAAGATTACTTTTCAATCCCCTTCGCTAACATATTGATCTCCCAGTCATATCCTATGGATATTGGAAGGATGTCAAAGGGCATGTTAAAGTTTGTCCTTTAATCCCCAAACAGCAAGGTTTACGTCAGGAAAAATAATACCAAACTGCCTGTTATCCATTAATCTTTAACCCACATAAAGGACTCTGTCCTATTTCCTCATGACTTCACTTGAGTCTGGTTACCACCACAGATGATGAAATCGTCTAACCAACTCTGAACTACATTGCATCAACCATCTAAAAGCAAAACAAAATAAACCTCTGTGTTTGTGTTATCTTAAGGAATAATAAAATCTTAGTAATATTTTAAGGTTTACAAACCCATGTTGGGTAATTCAGAAACATAATCTTGTAGGGAGTTGCTCTACCTCAGTGACATCCAGCAGGGGTGCGGCAAGAGGCGCACTGGTGTGTCCCGAGAGTTTTTAAAACATGCGATACCAGCTCTGGCCAGGTAGCTCAACTGGTTAGAGCACTGTTCTGACATGCCAAGATTTTGGGTTTGATCTCCAGTCAGGGCACATACAAAATCACCAATAAATGCATAAATAAGTAGAACAAATCAATGTTTCTCTCTCTCCCCCTAAAATCAATAAAAGAAATAAAGAAAAATTTAAAAGTTTTCTACAACAAAATATAATATCTGACCACTTAGGAGCACTGACTTCTTTTCTCTTGTCAAATAAAAAAAAAATAAAAATGACAATAGCCAACACAACAATAGCCGTCTGGTGTAAATGAATCAAAATTATACTTTTTTCCAGATTAGCAAAAAATATAACATTTTTTGGTGTGCCACAGAATTTTAGTGATGAGTTAATGCGTGCCATGAGATGAAAAAGGTTGAAAATCACTGTTCCACCTCAATATCCCCCCAGCCATGAGCTACAAACTTTAACAAGAACAAAAGAGCATTTGGGAGTAAGTACTCTTCCTTGGGGCTACCAAAAGTAAATTAATTGTATTTTTATAACAGAATGGAAAGGAATTCTGAGGGTAGTGCTAAGGGCCACAGTAAATTATTTCACATTGACAATAATAGCGAGGTAAAGTTAATAATTAGATACCAGCCCAGTCGGTGTGGCTCAGTGGTTGAGCATCAACCTATGAACCAGGAGGTCATGGTTCGATCCCAAGTCAGGGCACATGCTCCAGTTGCAGGCTTGATCCCCAGTGGGGGGGGGGGGGGGGGGGGGGGGGCGTGCAGGAGGCAGCCAATCAGAGTCTCTTTATTATTGATGTTTCTCTCTCTCTCTCTCTCCCTTTCTCTTAAAAAAAAAAAATTAGAAAAATATTAGATACCAAATGAACTACAGGCAGTATTATAGGAGAAATGACTATTACTACATAAACGCAAAACTTTTACCGTTTCATTTTTTTCTTGGCTTTTGAATATACACTATTCATCATATTTAATCTTTATTGATGAAAATATTGAAGTTCTTCTAAAATACAGAAACCTAAAAGACGAAATGCCCAGGAATAAGTGAGAAGTGTAAGGAGTGCTATAGGCCAAAGGGAATCTGGTATTAATAAGATCATGTAATTATAGAGTATTTGCTTAGATAAAGGCAAAAACAAAGAGCATTTTTTCCAATTAAAAAACAAAACACATCAACAAAACACGGATGGTCTGAAAAAAAGAAGGTGCCCTGCTCAGCGCTGGGAGGGTGTTTTTATGAGGCCTCATATGCACCAGATTCCACAATCCCGCCTCCTTTGGGCCCTTTATATTCATTCTGAGGTTTGCCTAATGTTCTTCATCCATCCCCTTCTCCACTATTTGAAGCTCAAGTTCTCCTCTACCCTAGAAAAATATAATGTCATTGCTACGAAACATTTAAATGTTTGGGCTCACAACTGACAATTCCCTGGAATCCAGCATCTAAATGCCGCAAGCCTCCTTCCCAGCAAGAGCGAAGGCATTTTGAACAGGAATCACTCAAACTGAGACTCCGGGGGGAAAGAATCTGTCCGATTCCCGAGAATGAAAACTGCAGGGTCACCACTTGGTTATCAGCATTCCACGGTGCCATTCCCTAAAGGGCGTAGGTGCAAAGGTAAACATTCTCTTCCACACACACAACTTTCAGGAGGCTGCACACAGGCAGCTGGAGTCTTCCAACGCCAGGCACGGGGAAAACGCACCCCCAGACCGCGGAGGTCAAGTGTGGGCTTTTGCACAACACGGATGAAAACGGGACCTGCGCGAGGGCATACCTACTTTTTAAACCACATGATTTCATCAGGGTCTGAGATGCCGAACTCCCTGATCTTCTTCACCAGGGTGGCACTCTTCCTGACAGCCACCTCGTAGCGCTGGCTGCGAGTGAGGAAGTTCAAGTCCTCATGCTTGAAGTCTGGGTCGTTCAGAATCAGGTTCTCTGCAAGGGATTAAAGGGCATCGAGACGAAGACAAACATGCTGGGCTCCGTTACACCGCCCTGAATCCCAGCTGGTTTCAGAGTCACGGCCCAGGTCCCCTCTGCGGATGGGCGATCTTCCCCCCGCCCACCCACAAGCCGCTCCCGGAAGCGGGGGTCCCGGCTCCCCCAAAGCTGGGCCAGAGCCTACGTCCTACAGCACCCCCACACTGTACGGAGGGAGGCCTGGCCCGCAGCCCTCACCGATCTCTCGGCGTCGCCGGGTGTTCTCCGGGCTGCCGTCCAGGATGTGCGTGAGCAGCTCGGGGTTGAAGCTGGCGGAGGCCCGCTCCCGGCGCAGGTCCTCATTCATGGTGACAGCCATCGGGAGCAGCGGAGGCCGAGGCGGCGTCGACGAAGGTTGTCAGAATCTCCGGCGCGGGCCGGGCCGAGGAGTTGCCCCAGGACCGCGCGAGTCCCCGCCCCCGGCCCGCCCCTTCCCCTTCCCCTTCCCCTTCCCCTTCCCCGCGGCTGCCGGGCGGCCTTAGCCCAGAAGGCGGCGGCGCCGGATTGGTCTCCTTGACTCAGGTCAGCCCCCGGGAAGGCGGGTCCCCAGCTCGGCCCGGGGAGTCCCTGAGCCGATCCCCCAAAACCGGGGGAAGAGACCCCGGAAGCTGCTCAAGCAATTGCCGGGAGGGAGGGGGAAGCGCGGCGCGCTCAGTACTGCCCGTCGTCTCGCGATCACGCGGGGCGGAAAAAGGAAGCAAAGGACGGCCCGGACGCCCAAACAGGTTGGCTGGAGGCTTGGGAAGGGGCGGGACAACCAGGTAAAGGCGGATTGCGCCTGCGCCTTGGGATTTGCCCGCCCTGCCGCTTCCGGGTCCAGGCGCCAAGGCCTCCCAGGCGAGGCGCGGGGAAGGAGACTCAAGGTCCTGGGGGTGGAGGACCTGTAGGCTTGGCGCGGTCGCTAAGGGAGGTCGTAGGGTTTGCCCAAAGCCGCCCAGATTGGATCTAGAAAGGACGGGGAGAGGCTCTAGTTATCGTTTGTGAAGATCATGGCATCCTTGCTGCCTGGGGCGTAGGCGGCTGTGGGCTGGGTCCGGGCTGTGGGCGCGGACTTGGAATGAGGCCGAGCTCGCCCTGTGCTTAGCGATCTTGGAATCCACTGTATTGTTTTCACAATTATCAGCGTCGTCATCCGAGTTGTAAATGCACGCGCTTTTTAAAGACCTAGGGCAGGAGGGTTTGTAATGAAAAGCAGAGTTCAGCCTTAGGAGCCGCCACTTCTCATCAGTTGTGCTCTTAGTTCTGATTCCTAAAAAGCTGAGCTTAAATGCTGTTTTATTTGTTCGTTTTCGTTAGTCTTTGACCTAATGCCATGCTAATGAAGGTCGAGCACACAACACCACCCCCTTTATATCTCCCTAATTTACCTTTATAACTTTCATCAACATGCTTAATCCCGTTTTTTAAAAATGTAAGAAATGGCCAAACCTGTAGAGAATTTTTATGAGTTTATTTGAGCCAAATTGATGCCATATTTGGGGAAGCAAGATCTCACTGCGGAGAATAACAATTTTGCAGGACAGTTATCAACTTTTATATGCTCCCTTGAGGGTGATTTTGCTTATTTCCAAGTTGTGTTAACTTAGCTGCATGATGGACAGGGCTGCCTTAAAACCGTCACTACCGGAGTTACAGGCCTGGGATGTGATTGCCCACCATGATGACTGTTAGGTGGCTCGGGAGGCGGCGTAGGAAATAAAGAGAGCCCAGTCAATCAGAAAAGAAAGAAAAGGAAAGGTTTTAATCTGCGTCCCCGGGCGACCCACGAACCCCAAAGACAGGGCCAGTGGATTCACGCCAACAGGGAAGGGGGGCTTCTTTTTATACAGGTGCTTAATGAGGGCAGCGGCTTGAGCTGAGGAAGCTCCCCCTGTGGGGGTCATCACGGTATTCGGCAGAGGAAGCTCCCGCCGCAGGGGTGGGCAGGGTATTCAGGAAGGAGTCAGTATCTGTGTCTGGCAGGCTGATCTGTTAGAAATTCAGGGAGGGTCCCTTATCTCGTCACCCATCTGCATGCATCTGATCCTGGGCTCCCTCCAACCTGACAATGACCTGCCCATTTAGGAATTTATGATCAGAACCCTGTGAAATTACTTTCCATAGGACCTTTTTTTTTCTGTCCACAAAACTATAAATTTAATGCTTTGTTCCTTCCAGCCCTGGGAATAGGGTACAACGAGTGAATCATTCACCCCCAACACAAAATGTAAGGAAGTACCAAAAAATTAAGATTAACTGTTTTAGTAGAACATTTTAAAAAATCAAAATTAATGCAAGAAAATGTACAATGAACAGACCATCAAAATTCTAAATAAATACAAGTTCATGATTACTGATTGGTCCTTTGATCTCAAGCTCTGATATACTTGGGGAAGGCACTGTTACTGAAGCTGTTTTTAATGCTCCCAGGCATTAAAATATTTATTTTGGCTACTGTGTTTAGATTGTATTCCTCTTGCAAAAACTGGCTCAGAAGTTCACCAACACAACAAAGCCGAGTTTCTTGCTTCCTCGGGCAAGGAGAACAGTACTCGGCAACACTTGGGCAGTGTCTCAGAGAGGAGAAGGTAAGACCAGGATTTTTTGAGAATTGGAAGCTTGGTTTAAGGCCAGTTTTTCAGTTCAGAGTCTTGATTAGGACTGGGTAAGAATGCACAACAGTCCAAAATTGGTGGAAACAGGGGAGGGAATTCAAAGAATCTCGGTGGGCAAACTGGCTGTTGATACTCAAACCATTTGCCTGGCCTGGGCGGTTGAGGAAGAGTAAAGAAATGCCAGGGAAGACAGCAGACCACAAAGTCACTGTAATGTAGGCAGTAAGGTGTGGTTGGGGTTCTCTGTATGCCAAGCTGAGTGTCGGGGGAGATGGATTTGGTGTTCACTCTCTTCTGCATCCATTCAATAAATATTTCATCGTGTCCCATATGCTGCATTGGACACATCAAACTTGTACGCAGTGCCTTTAGCATCCATGGATGATTCTTCTCTGAATACATTTTCCTCTGATTGGAAAACTTTTAAAGACAGAGAAAGATAATCCTTTTATCTGGTTACTGTGAAATCCATTTCGCTGAGATTAGTGTAACATTTGTCATCCCCACATGCTAGAACCTTTTGAGGCCATAGTTCAAATCATGTGTAACTGGAGTTTTCAGATTGAAGATTCATGGTGCAATATCCGCTAACAAAGAATCGTAACTTCTAGAACGTTAATGAGTTGCTTCTGGGTTGGCAGACGTGGTGGTGTGTGGGGGGGAGACGGTGCCCTCAGAGGGCATGGACGCCCCCCGCCCCTTCCCACACACCTTGCCCTGTGCACTCTTCCATGGGCCTGTTCCTGAGTTATCTCCTTTCGTTATAAACTGGTAATCTAACCTAGGTGTGGAGCGGCAAGCATACACCGTCAAGGTTCTTGTCTTCAAGAAACAAACCCAAAGCCGATCAAAGCTCTGATGACTTGGTTACCGGCATTCCTTCTCTGACCTTCAGCCCGACACCAGAAGTCTTGGCAATCACTTCAGAAGAGATGGAAGAAATAGTCAGATTGGTTCATCATCCTTCCTCTAAAGCAGTGGTTCTCAACCTTCCTAATGCCGCGACCCTTTAATACAGTTCCTCATGTTGTGGTGACCCCCAATTTCATTGTTACAAATTGAACATAATTAAAGCATAGTGATTAATCATAAAAACAATATGTAATTATATATGTGTTTTCCGATGGTCTTAGGCGACCCCTGTGAAAGGGTCGTTCAACCTCCAAAGGGGCCGTGACCCACAGGTTGAGAACCACTGCTCTACAATATTTTCCAACTTCCCAGTCCTTAAAAAAAGAAGACGATTTCTCTTGTTCCTCCCAGGGATTCTTTTCTCTCCCAGAAGTGTCTTGGGGAGTGAAAAGGGCAGGGCCCTCCGTTACAGGCTGCACCCCTCCTCACACTCCTAGGTAGATAGTTCTTGGAAACGTTATGGAATGTGTGATAATGTGTGGCTGGTGATGTATGGCGCCAGCTGTGCTTGTCTTAATAAATGCATAGCAACTTCTGTTTGAAAAGGAAAAGCTGAGGTTACATTTATAAGTGTGTGCCCCCAAAGAATCAATTCTGCTGTGTGATATCTTTAAAAATTAAAATAAAATGTGATGGCGTTGTTACTGGTAGCGTAGCTTGGCATATACATGGTCTTGAGAGTAGGAAAATGACCTGGTCTCGTCGGTTCAGGTGTCCTCTGTGTGTTTTCATACTGTGATGGCAGAGTTGAGAGGTGGTGACAGATCTCAGATTGCCTCCTGCCCCTCGACAGACCCCTCCCCCCGCCTTGTCTGGGGCGAAGGGAGGGAATGGGTTGCACAGGGGTTGGAGTAGGAACAAGATTTCTCCACATCGAGCTTTTGTATGTTTTTTGTATGTTGTTTTGTTTTTCAAAACATGTGAAGGCGCCGAAACCGGTTTGGCTCAGTGGATAGAGCGTCGGCCTGCGGACTGAAGGGTCCCGGGTTCGATTCCGGTCAAGGGCATGTACCTGGGTTGCGGGCACATCCCCAGTAGGAGATGTGCAGGAGGCGGCTGATCGATGTTTCTCTCTCATCGATGTTTCTAACTCTCTATCTCTCTCCCTTCCTCTCTGTAAAAAATCAATAAAATATATTAAAAAAAAAAAAACATGTGAAGGCATAACCTATAAAAAAGATGTGTTTTTTTTTTATTTTTTTAATTTTAAACCACCATCCACTGGTTGTGGCTGTCAGGCATCATCCGTTAATCCCCGCCTTGTGTTCTGCTTGGTTTGTCAGGAATCTTCAAAAATCCACCCCAACGCCTTGGCCACAGGAGCCAATGACGCTGCCCAAACCTGGGACCTATTACTTCCCCTGGGAGCTCAGTGCCGGCCAGGCTCCTGACGGAGGCGCACTGCGGACGTTCGGCAGGTGAGATGCTTGTTTTTCCACAAAGGGGGGAGGATGTTTCAGTGGCTGCCTCCCCCTCAAAAAAACAATTAAAATAGTCGTCATTTTGTCTGATTAAAAACTTAATATGCATTCATTGTAAAAAACATGTAGACAATTTCATGAAGGTGTAAAGGAAGCAAGGAAAAATCACCTGTGATCGACTGTCTGAACAACCACTGCCTATGTTTTGGTGATTACACACTTTTTCATGTGTGTATGCATGTATATATGTATATGTGGGTGGGTATGTAGACACACTATGTCTACACACGTGTACATGCATGTGTACTGTACGAGTCAGTCATTTTATTGCCATGTAACAAATTACCCCAAAAGTTAGTGGCTTAAAAGGAGAATGAAAGCTTATTATTTCTGCGCTGGCCTGTGTGGCTCGAGCAGCAGCCCATGCACCAAAGGGTCTCAGGCGGGGACCCAGGTTTCGGGTTCAGTCTCTGGTAGGGACACATATGGGAGGCAACCGACTCATGGATGTTTCTCTCTCACATTGATGTTTCTCTCTCCCTCTCCCTCTCCCTTCTTCTTCCTCTTAAAAAACAACACCACAGCCTGGCCGGTTTGGCTCAGTGGGTAGAGCATAGGCCTGCGGACCAAAGGGTCCCGAGTGTGATTCCGGTCAGGGGCATGTACCTTGGTTGCAGGCTCCTCCCTGGCCGGGGCCCTGGTCAGGGCTCGTGAGGGAGGCAACCAGTCAACGTGTTTCTCTCGCATCAGTGTTTCTCTCTGTCCTTCCCTCTCTCAAAAACAAAAACAAAAACACACACACCACAATAATACAAAACAAAAGCTTATTATTTTATAGTTGCTATGGGTCAGGAACTTGGGAGTAGATTAGCTGGGCCAACACCTGAAGGCTGGGCGGGCCCTGGGGGGTCTGCTACCGGGTGACGGGGTCACACTTTGGCGAGTTGGTGCTGGCCAAAGACTCAGGGAGGCTTGGGGTGATAGAAATGTACTAAATCTTGACTGGGGTGGTGGTGACACCAAGTGTGTATTTTCATCAAGACTCGTTGGACAAGTGTCTTTTGATGCATGTAATTTATACCTCAACAGTTTTTCTGACTTGTTGCTGCCATTTTTATTTTGTCTGATGGAAGTGAGGCTGACCATTTTCCCTCCCCAAGCCCGGTAAGCTCTAAGCTCCGTGGCGGTCGTGTCTAAGGAGAGAGGCGATCGCACTTTCCCTGACTTCCAGGTTGAGCCTCTGCGACATGGCCGAGTCCCGAGCGACCCTGACAGCTCAGCACGGGTCTGAGCAGCACCAGGTCCTCGTCTGTACCAAGTTGGTGGAGCCGTTCCAGGCCCAGGTGGGCTCCCTGTACCTGGTCCTTGGGGAGCTCGAGCAGCAGCAGGGTAAGCCGGGCCTCACACACGCTTCTGCCCTCTGGGTCCTGAGCGGTGACGCGGTTGGGACTGGGCCTGGTGTCTGACCCAACAGCGTCCCTCACGGGGATAACATTCCTCCCGAATCATCCCACAAGTTCAAGGGCCCGTGGGAAGCATGTGACTGGGCTCAGAGCCCATCTGCCACCGGGCATTGCGCAAGCCTGGAGGGAAACCATTCATTTCCGAAGGCCCACACGTCCAGGCCTTGTACCAGGTTTGCTTAAATCTTTGAATCTGCCCACCTGCCCTTAATCTGAGTCTTATTATTGCTGGTTCATAAATGAGAAAACCAAGGCTCAGAGAGGGTGGGGCTGGACTAACGATTCCGGAAGTCAGGGTCAGAGAAAGAGGACAGCCCTGGCTGGTGTGGCTCAGTGGATAGAGTGTCAGCATGCAGACTGAAGGGTCCTGGGTTCGATTCCAGTCAGGGTCACATGCCTGGGTTGCGGGCTTGATCCCCAGTAGGGGGCGTGCAGGAGGCAGCCGATCAATGATTCTCTTTCATCATTGATGTTTCTCTCTTTCTCTCCTTCTCTCTCTCTTTCTCCCTCTCCCTCTCTTTCCCTTCCCCTCTGAAATCAATAAAAATATTTAAAAAAAAAAAAAAGAGAGAGAGAGATGCCCTGACCGGTTTGGCTCAGTGGATAGAGCGTAGGCCTGCGGACTGCGGGGTCCCAGGTTTGATTCCGGTCAAGGACATGTACCTTGGTTGTGGGCACATCCCCAGTAGGGGGTGTGCAGGAGGCAGATGATCGATGTTTCTCTCTCATTGATGTTTCTAATTCTCTATCCCTCTCCCTTCCTCTCTGTAAAAAGTCAATAAAATATATTTAAAAAAAAAATAAAAAAGAGAGAAATAGGACACAAGGGGAGAATAAAAGCAGCCTGAAAAAATCTCTGGCTTCCAGAGTTGAAGGTTGCTCTTTAAAACTCAGGCCCTCCCATCCTTTGCCTCCCACATGGCTGTCCCTGTGCCATTTTCCTTCATATGTTTGATGTCATACTATGTTGGAGCTGGTTATTTTGGCTTCATATTATATCATAAGCATTTCCCCACGTCTTCAAATTTTTCTAGGTATAGTGTTTAGTGGCTATATAATATTTTATAGATTAGATGTGTGACCTAATTCACGTGACCACTGGTATATTTATATTGTTTTAATTCTTTGCTCTTAAAAATACACTGTACATTGATTATTGGTTAAAGAAAGTATGGTATATTTACTCAGTAGAATATTATGCAGCCATCAAAGGTGATGTTGTAGCCCTGGTGTATTTTAAAGCAAATATAGGACATTGTCTCATTTTACTCATAAATACCTCAGCATGTATCTCTCCCATCACCAAAATCACACCCAACAAAATTAATGGCCATTTCTTCGTATAATCTCATACCTTGTCCATGTTCACGCCCCCAGTTGCCTCAGAAACAAATAAACAAGCCGCGTGTTCACAACTGGCAGCTCAAGTCAGGCCCCCGAAGTTCACACATTGCACCCGGATCACACATCCCAAGTCTCTGTTCACCTCTAACAGTCTGTCTTCCGGTTTTCTTTCTTTTTATAAAAAAAAATGCCACTTATTGGAGAATCAGTCATCTGTCGTGTAGAATTCAGTGGAGTCTGGACCTGACTAGTTGTTCCCTCCTGGTTGCCTTGCTCACACTTGCGGCCTCCTTCCCTTGCATTTATCCGGCCTTTTTCTGTTTGGATTGTGCTTCAGGGAAACCACATGATTGATGGGGGAAAGCTCGTCAGAGGAGAACACGGTGACTAAATGCAGGAGAAGTCATTGCATTTGAAAGTCGCCTCTTCGGAAGCCCTGGTGAAATAATAAATCCAGGCCAGGAGCCTGATCACCAGCTGCTGGGCTCGTTAGGCGAAAGCGCGTGGGGAATGTGGTAGCGCAGGGACCAGGCCAGCCGGCCAGCCGGCCGTTAATGAGGCAGAGCGAGCAATCGATTGATCGCTCCGCTGTGACGCACCCAGAGGCACACAGCGCCGCTCTGAAGGGCGCCAGAAAGGGAGAAGCTGAGCCTGAGCATCAGCCCTCGGGGCAGGCAGCAGTCTCCTGGCCTGTCGCTAGCTTACTGAGTACGTTACAACCTGAATTTTTCTTCCCTTGTTTTTAAATAATTTAAAACATATATATGTGTATGTATATATATAGAGGGGGGGGGGAGAGAGAAAAAAACATGGGGTTGTTCCTCTTATTTATGCATTCATTGGTTGATTCTTGTATGTGCCCTGACCAGGGATGGAACCCACAACCTTGGTGCATCTGGATGATGCTCTAACCAACTGAGCTACCCAGCCAGGGCCTTTTTCTTTCTTTCTTAAAAACAATTTCCCCAAGTTTCTAAGTCATGCACACTCATCATTTGCAACTGAAACAAGGAAAGAAACTTGCCGAGGAGGAGGTGGAGGCAGAGTGTGGGCAGGACATGGTCTGAGCATGGAAGCGGCCACCCCACCCCCAGCCGGGGCAGAGGGCTCGGCGCGGCTGACCCCGGTCAGGTCCCAAGTCCTGTGGGACACAAAGGTCACCAGGCACCAGTCGTGCCCCGTGACCGGGTGGGTGGTGCTGAGGACGGACAAGAGGCTGCCTAAAGTCACCTGTCTGACATGTTTACACAAGGAGCTCGCAGAGGCCATAGAAAAGGTGAAGAAATGCCAGCGCCGTTTCGAAACTCGCTGGCTGTGTCACCCTCTTTGGGCGCCGTCCAGAGGCCCTCGGGGGCTTCCTGTCCTGTTCAGGCGCTAAGGGACTGGGGCGCAGCCTCTCCCCGCTCAGCTCCAGGGTCCCTAATAGAATTGCCAGGCTGGAGGCCGCTTGCCTACAGCACGGGCTGCCTTAGATCTCTCCATAAACCCCCGTAAATGCCGCCCTTCCGGTTCATTCCAGCTGACGCCGTGTCCTCCTCCACGGGTCCTCCCGTCCGGGCCTCCGGGACCTTTGCTCTTCCACCTTCCAGCCTCCTTTCCCTGCTCTCGCCTTCGCGGGGACCCGCCTGATACCTGGCTTGTTCCCAGGGCCGCAGTTCCTCCCCCTCCCCCCACAGGGAGGCCTGGTCAGCGTCTCCACCCCACACTGCAGGGGCGGGCCGCACCCTGCCGGCTCCCCGGGTACCAGTTCTGCCACCCTGTGACCTGTCTGCCTGCACCCCCAGCTCCTCCCAGCATGTCGCCACCTCTGCCACCTGAAACCACTCGTCCACCCTCCGTATCTCTCTGCCCTCCGTCAGCCCCGGGGACTTTGGACTCCTCCCTTTCCTCCCATCTTCTCTCTCCTGTTCCCTTTCCTCCGCTAACGCCAGACCCACTATCATTTCAACTCCATTCCTGGCAGACCGTCAGCCCTCGCCTTCTCTCCTGCCTGATTAAACCCGGGCCTCCACCCTCTCGGTCCCACCCACTGTGGGTGGGAAGTTCACACAGCCCGGGATTCCTAGCACAAAGGTTTCAAGGTCCCTCAGCTCACTGGGCTCCTCCACGCTGCCTAGACCCTCCCACGTCCCGATCAATCCCTGTCCCACAGCCCTCAGGGCTGTTTCAGGCGGGCAGTTACCAAGACACCCACTTCATCCCCTCCCTGCCCCTTTCGGCAAACCCCCTCACCTCTTACATCCCCGGAGAAACTGGGCCACAGCAGCCGTCCGTCCTCCTAAAATCACAGGCATCCACAGCCGTGCAGCGCCTTCCCCCAGGCTGGCCGGAAGGTCCCCTGGCCTGCCCTCCGCAGGGACGCTGCTCTCGCAGCCGGACCCTTCACCTGTCCCCACAGGTTCTTCCCTCGCGGCATTTAAAGCACCGGAGCCTCTTCCACGTTAAAGTAATGATGGTAATTGGCAGTGGTGCCGGGCGGCCGAGGGCGGCCTCAGCCCCATCCCAGTCCCTGTCACGGCCCGAGAAGGAATTCAGGGGCAGACAGATCTAGCAAAGCTCAGGGGGCTCAGTAACGCCAGTGCCCGCGAGCAGTGAGCAGGCGGCCTCGGGTCTGGGTGGGAGGTCTCTATTAAATGTGGGCAAGGGGGCGCCTGGGGCGGTCCTCTGCCTCTGACGTGTGTAGGGCCACTGCCTGTGCCCTGGTCCTGGTCCCTCTCTGCAGACATCGGTTCCTTTCCTTGTTGTGTGTGTGCCCTCAGTCACAGGAAATCGAGGAGGGGGAGCGGTGGGCCGGGGGCAGCGGAGGTCGTGTCTGTGATGTTCCAGCCGAGAAGGAGAGGGGAGGGCAGAGCTCGAGGCCTTTGTTCCCTGCTCTGACTTTCCTGCCTTCGTAATAATAACAACACTGCATCTTCTGCTCCCTCTGCCTGCCTAGCTGGGGCCCTCTTTCCCTGCACAGTCAGACTTCCTGCGGGAAGGTCTGACCTCCACCCGCCCCTCCCTCATCTCCTGCTCACACCTCAGTCCCGTGCATCGCGGCTGCTCTTGCCACTCGGCCCTCCTCCTTGCTCTGGAGTCTTGATCTTTGCAAAAAGAGATTCCCCTGCAGGGCTGTTTCTCTAGCGTCTTGTTCACAGCTCCTCCCGGGCCTGCAGCGCTTCAAACCCTCTTCCTTTCACCCACTGACCTTGTGCAGATGGACTCACAGATTTGCCCCTTGTGGTCGTCACCCCTCCATAGTCAGCAGCTGTGACTTTTCATCCCCAGGAAGAAGCAGCCTGTTCCACTCCATACGGCGAGCGGGAGGGTCCCAGGTGGAGGGGAGGTTGCTGATGGGCACTCCTGTGAGGAAGGTGCGGGGAAGTGCCGTGGACAGCTAAGAAAATCTCCACACGGGCAGTTTGGAACCATTCGATGTCGGGTCCTACTTTGAGATTTAAATTTTTATTTATTGGTCTTATAGAGGAAGAGAGAGAATTGTTTGTTCCACTTATTCATGCTTTCATGGTGGATTCTTGTATGCGCCCTGAGCCCGGACTGGGGACGGAACCCGCAACCGTGGCCTGTGGGGACGACACTGTAGAAAACTGAGCCACTGGCCAGGGCCCTGTTGGAGATTTTTAGCTGAATTAGACTGATTTTGTCCTTGCCCTCCCCGTGTCGCCCCGAACGTGCAGCTGCGCTGTGGAACGATGCAGGGCCACGCGTGTCACCAGGAAAGGCGCAGGCCTCTCGGTGTTCAGGCGGACACCTGCCTGCTGACCAGGCAGCTGGGCAGCGCTTCCTGGGGAGGGACGAGGGTCAGCCGTCCACACTGGCCGGAGATCCGGACGTGGTCACGCGCCCACGCCACGCTGGCCCGGCGTCTCTGCACCCAGCACTGGGGCCCCCAGAAGCCAGTGGCCGCAGGCGACCCCGTGGTCCAGACAAGCTCACCCCCCCCCCACCCCGTTGGAGGCTGGCACCTGCGCCGCCCAGCGCTCTGCCTTCTGCCGCGGCTGGACGAGCAGGAGGCCAGCAGAGACGTCTAACCCAGAGCCCCTCTGAAGCATCAGAGGAAGACAGGACGAGTGTTCTAGAACACTGAACGCACTCACTGATGGGCCGGGGGAGCAGAGGACATGAGAGAGAGAGAGAGAGAGAGAGAGAGAGAGAGAGAGAGAGAGAGGGAGAGAGAGCAGGGCCCCCCAGAGGCCCGTTTCCGGCTGCTGCCACTTGAGCGTAGACCAGCCTTTCTGTCGGGCCCCCCGGCCCAGGGGGTACGGTTCACCCCTATAAGGCCACCCCCCACCCGGGTTTACTGCATACGGGCTTCTCGAAGGCCAGGCGGTGCCAGGACGCCCTTCCCCTGGTACAGAGGGAACTGGGGTGGCGACGAGAGCCCTCCTCCCCGCCCCTGGGCCCCAGAGACTAAGATGACCAGGGAGGGATGCGGAGGGTGCGTCTCCCCGGCGTCTTCCCTGGAGAAGCGGGATTTGGGGGGCCCCCAGTTCCGGGCACCCGCCCGCCCGTCAGGCACGGCCCGGGGACCCGCCCCCCGCCGGGGCCTCGCGCTGAGCCGGCGTCTGTCTTTATTTTATTTTTATTTTATTTTACTTTGTTTTTCCGGCGTCTGTCTTGCAGGCCGCCGCGTGGTGCGGGCCCGCGTGCTGACCTGCGTGGAGGGCCTGCACCTCCCGCTGCTGGAACGGGCCGTGGCGGAGCAGAGGCTGTACCGGCGGGAGCGGGAGCGGGAGCGGGCCGGCCCCTAGGACCGCGGCTCCGGGACCCCCGCCCCGCCGCGGGAGCCCGTCCCCGAAGCCCCCGCCCTGCGGCCCGCGCGGCCGGAGCGAACCCGGATGGCTCCGCGCACGTGGTGCCGCGGCCGGGAGGGGGCGCCGGGGAGCGGGCGGCGCGGCGGGAGACGGGCGCCTCGGCGCGGCGGGCGGTCCGGGCCTGAGGGGACGCGGGGCCCCCGACCCGCCGACCCAGGTGGGGGCCCGGGGCGCGGGGGCCGCCCCGCCGAGGTTCTGCCCCCGGAGGAGGCCGAGCGGCCGCCAACTGGGGCCCGGCCTCGCCCCGGCGGCGCGGCCTCGGGGGGGTGCTGCCCGGGAACCCTCAGACCCTGCCCCTGCCCGAGCTGCCCTTGCTGCCCTCTCCTCCCCTCCACCCCCCCGACCCCCGCTGGCCGCTGCGAGCTGGACCCGGGCCTGGCCGGCTGAGGCGGGAGGTTTGGGCCCTGCCGCGCCCCGTAGCCGGCGCCTTCCTGGGGGGCAGCTTCCTGGGGGCACCCGGGCTGGGCGAGGGGCTGCCCCCTTCAAACCCGGTTCCCAGGGGAGGTGGGGGCCTGGGCCGAGGCTGCGGGGCTCCCGGCGGGACCCAGCGGGCGCCTGTCCCGCAGCCGCGGCCATGGACAGCTTCCAGAAGGTGGAGAAGATCGGCGAGGGCACCTACGGGGTGGTGTACAAGGCCCGGCACCGGGACACGGGCCAGCTCGTGGCGCTCAAGAAGATCCGGCTGGACCTGTGAGTGCTGGGCCGGACCGGGACCCTGGGCGCGCCCTCCCGGAATCAGAACGCGGGGACCCCCCCTCCCCCCGGCAGGAGCGCCCTGCTCGGCTCCTGCCTCCAGCTGCGCCCTCCTGCCCGCAGGGAGACCGAGGGGGTCCCCAGCACCGCCATCCGGGAGATCTCCCTGCTCAAGGAGCTCAAGCACCCCAACATCGTCAGGTGAGGGCACAGCCGGCGGGGCCGGGCCTGGCCGCCTCCGGGAGCCGCCTGACCGCCCCCCCCCCCCCCCCCCCAGGCTGCTGGACGTGGTGCACAGCGAGAAGAAGCTGTACCTGGTGTTTGAGTTCCTCAGCCAGGACCTGAAGAAGTTCATGGACGCCACCCCGGTGTCCGAGCTCCCGCTGCACTTGGTCAAGGTATGGGGGGCGGGACGGGGGGGGGGGGGGGCGCTCAGCCGGCCGCTGCCGCTCAGCCAGCCCCCCCTCCCTGCTCCAGAGCTACCTCTTCCAGCTGCTGCAGGGGGTGAACTTCTGCCACGCGCACCGGGTCATCCACCGCGACCTGAAGCCCCAGAACCTGCTCATCAACGAGCTGGGCGCCATCAAGCTGGCGGACTTCGGGCTGGCGCGGGCCTTCGGGGTGCCCCTGCGCACCTACACCCACGAGGTCCACGGGCGCGGGAGGGCAGGCGGCTGAAGGGGAGCCCCGGCGCCCTCGCTGCCCTGAGTGACCCTTCGCCTGGTCCCCGCAGGTGGTGACGCTCTGGTATCGCGCCCCCGAGATCCTCCTGGGCTGCAAGTTCTACTCGACAGCGGTGGACATCTGGAGCATCGGCTGCATCTTCGCGGAGATGGTAGAGGGGCAGGCGGGGCCAGGGAGGGGCCTGTTGGAGGTGGATGAAGGGACTGGCTAGGGACTGGGGCCTTAGCACCTCTGGTCTGGCCTCTGCTCTGGTGTTGGGTTCCAGGGGTGAGGGCGTGGACCCCACACCTCTCCTCTTCCCCTTCAGGTGACCTGCAAAGCTCTGTTCCCTGGAGACTCTGAGATCGACCAGCTCTTTCGCATCTTTCGGACGCTGGGGACGCCCAGCGAAGCCACGTGGCCGGGAGTCACCCAGCTGCCTGACTATAAGGGCAGCTTCCCCAAGTGGACCCGGAAGGGGTTGGAGGATGTGGTGCCCAATCTGGAGCCAGAGGGCAAGGACCTGCTCCAGGTGGGTACCGGGCGGTGGCGGGAGGGCACGAGGCCTCCTGCTCCAGCTGCTGCTCCCGCCGGCGCCTCAGGCCACCCCGGCTCCCCCAGTCCAGGCTGGCCTCCTTTCTCACCCCTGTCCACACTGACTGTTCCACCTGGAGACCTCGCCCATGGAAAGTCCAGCGTTCACCGTTCCTTCTAAAACGGCTCTCTGCTAGTTGGCTCTGCGGGGTTTTGCAGTGATCCTGGCCCTTTTCCCTCAGTTGCCTTGTGTCCTTGGTCATTTTCCCGTGGTCATTATGACCCCATGTGAACTGAGCTTTTCCGGGCGGGGACCACCCCTCCTGCGTCAGTATGCCCCGCCGTGCCTTCCACAGCGGTTACTCCCACGCCCGGCTGTTCCTGCTGCCTGGGCCCCTGTCACGTCTCGCTCACCCTCCTGTTGCACCATCCGGATCCCGCGGGCTGGCCAGGCCAGACTGCCCGAGGCCTGAGCAGAGCCGCCTCGTTCTCGCCCACAAAGGCTCAGAGGCACCTTTTCCCTTTCACTGGTGTCGGGCCGAGGCAGGCGGGCTCTGTTTCCATCGTCAGGCCACACGTCCCACTTTCCAGAAGCCTGTGTCCACCAGCCGGGTGCCAGCAGCCCCGCACAGACTGCCGCCAGCTCTTAGCGCGCTGTCCTGGCTGCTCCTCCTCCCCCAGCCTGGCTGGGAGGAGGGTCTGGGAGCTCCTGTCCCACCCGGCAGGTTTGGCCCCCACTTGCTGGTACACAGAGAGAAGTCTGTCTCAGCTACAGGAGATGGGGGCCTGGAAGCCGCAGTACAGAGGGGAGACGGACTGAGCAGGGCTGGACCAGGACTAAGTCTTGGTCTGCACATCCCGGGAGTGTCCAGAGCTGGCTCGTGAGCTGGGAGGAGGCGGCTCTGTGCAGTTCTGGGTCTGAAGGCAGCCCTGGGGGGCGGGGGGGTTAATTCCTCTCCCCCTCCTCCCTTCACAGCAACTCCTGCAGTACGACCCCAGCCAGCGGATCTCGGCCAAAGGCGCCCTGGCCCATCCGTACTTCTCGTCCATGGAGACCTCCCTGGCCCCCCACCAGTGTATGCTGGAGCGCTTCTGCCGCTGAGGATGCGGGAGGCCACCGCCTCAGAGCCTCTCTCCACCTGCCGCCCCGCTGCCTCCTCACCGGCTCCCCAAGAAGGGGGACATGTCTGGGGAGAGGGCAAAGCTCTAAGGAATTTGCATCAGCCGCCAGAGGGCTGAGTTTGGGTTCGTCCTGCCAACAAGTTAGCGAGTTCCTGTGTTGTTTGTTGGGTTCGACGGTGCCGTTTCCAGACGGGGGCACAGAAGCTCCGTGTGCGAGGGGGTATGATAGGCCCTGGGTCTCCTGGCACGGGGGCAGCAGGCCAAGGAAAGCAGGAAGCCTGGCCCGCCAATGCTGCTGTGCGCAAGGTGCTCCTCCGCCCTTCACCGGCCCAGCCCTCGCTGCAGGGCCAGACCCTGAGGGGAAGGGCGCCCTCTGCTGGTCTTTTGGATTTAAAATGTTTGGGGGAAGAGTTGAGTCCCAAGTTTAACAGGAAGGAGGGTGCGGGAGAGGGGACGTTTCCTGGTACCGGTGTGTGTGGCTGTTCTAAGTAGTTGTCACCTAGGATATGTGTACATTTGTTTGCTTCTGCATTGAAGAGCAGGAAATAAAAGTGATGCTCTGAGCGTCCCCGTGTTTCTCTGCTGCGGGCACAGCAGGGACTTGCCCGTCTGCGACCTCCTTCCATGGCCTGCCAGCACATCCTTCCAAGTCAGGGGCACCCGTGTGCTAGGACCCAGTGGGCATGCCCACCCCCCACATGGGAAGGACTCATCCCCAGACAGGTTCACTCTGCCTCCCAAAGGCGAACGAGACGCTGGGAGAATTCGTTTATTGCAAGTACAGGGTGGGGAGGAACAGATCTGATGTCGGGGCCTGGGATGGATTGGGCACCGAGTCAGGGGAGGGAGCCCAACACCACGGACGCTGAGTAACAGAACAGGGATCAGGCAGGGAAGACCCACCCCCTGGGGTAGGCTGCTCTGGGGTGCGGGGTGCCTGCAGCCTCCCCTCCCCCCATAGACGCTCCCATGACTTCACCCCATCAGCGCAGCGCATAGGGCGCAGTGGGGGAGGCGGAGCGGTAGCAGCGGTACCCCTCCAGCGCCGCGGGCAGGAGCAGCAGGCCGCTCAGGGGGTCCTTCCGGCAGCGCCCCATGGCCTCCTTGTAGCTCAGCCGCTCCTTGGAGATGGGGTCGGTGAGATCCTTCTCGTAGCTGGACTCGTCCTGCAGGAGCTGGGCCAGCTCTTCGCTGATCATGCCGGACAGCACGGCCTGCGGGACGGGGATGCGGCCCGTCCTCTTGGGGTCGATGAGCCCCCCGGTCAGGTGCTGCACCAGCAGGTGCGGGAACACGCTCTCCCGGGGCATCCAGCCCTTCTGGATGGCCTCGCCCACCGACAGCCTCTTCTTGGTGACGGGGTCCTCGATGCCGGTGAAGGCCTTCTGGGCGTTGAGCAGCCGCTGCGTCGAGGTGTTCTCAACAAGCCCCCTCTCCATGGCCTTGTGCACGGAGTAGCGCTCGCGGCTGAGGAGGTCCACGATGCCCCCCGTGGCCGCCTGGGCCTCCAGCAGCTTCTGCCCGGTGATGGGGTCCAGCATGTTCTTGGCCATGGCCGTCTTGATGGTGCACTTGTTGTCGGTGGTCGTGTCGTAGACGCCGGCAATGGGGAAACTGTCGTCGCCAAGCCCAAAGGAGAAGCCGGGAGAGAAGGAACTGGCGCTCTGGTGACCCGGGGAGGTGAGCGGGGACTTGGAGATGATGGAGCCAATGGAGAGCGAGGGGCAGGGCTTGGTCTCCCCGGCCACGAGCAGGGCGAACTCGGAGATGGGGAGGCTGCCCTCCCGGTAGAGGTGGTACTCCTCCTTGGAGATGCGCCGGCACTGCAGGGCGGTCTCGATGGAGTACTGCTTCCCGCTCTTCCGGTCCAGGAGCACCGACTCCTCCCCGCAGGGGCCCGAGGTGGTGACCTCCTCCCAGTCGCACTCGAGCTCCTGCAGCTGGAGGTACTGGCCGCGGTCGATTATGCCCCGCTTGTAGGCCTCGTACGGGGACAGGTCCTTGCCCGTCTCAGGTTCCAAGATGCAGATCTTGGTGGAAAGGTTGGTCTCCCGCGTCTGGGTCTCCTGGTTGAGCTCCTCGCGGCTCACCCGGCTGTGGAGGTCCCGGAGGGTCCTCTCCTTCGTGTAGATCTGGTCCTTCTCCTGGAGGATGGCCGCCTGGAGCTGCGCGAGCTCCTGGCCCTGCTGGGTGGCCCGCTGCCGCTCGCCCTCCGACCGCTGGCTGAGCACCTTCGCCTCCTCCTGCAGCTGCAGCACTTTCTGCTGCTTCTGCCGCTCCAGCTCCCGCAGCTCCTGCTGCAGCCGCCTGCACCCCTGGCCCGCCTGGGCCCGAGCCTTCTGCAGCTCGGCCTCCTCCCGGGCCCAGGTCCTGCTCAGCGCCTCGGCCCTGTCGATCCGCTCCCGGAGGCGCTGCACCGTCTCCTCCCGGCCCTTCCGGCCCGCGCGCTCCCTGTTGAGCATCTCCCACACGCGGGACCGCTCGCCCTCCAGCACCCGGTCCTTCTCCACCCTGATCACCTCCTTGTAGATGGTCTTCTCCTGCGACTTGGTTTTCTGGAGGACGTCGATCTGGACCTGCAGGTTCTTGCACTCCCGGTGCAGCTCGGCCACCCGGGCCTTCTCCCGGTCCAGGTCCTGCCGCAGGGCTCCCGTGGACTCCTCCAGCGCCGGGTCCTTCTCCAGCTGCACCACCTCCTCCATGATGATCTTCTCCTGCACCGCGCGCGGCCGCTGCTCCAGCTCCTGGATCCGCAGGCTCAGCTGCCGCAGCTCCTTCTCCGCGGCCAGCTTCTTGTCGCGGTCCTCCTGGAAGCTCAGCAGGCCCTCCTGCTCCTCCACCCCGGCCCGCAGCTGCTGCACCTCCCGCTCCAGCTGCCGCCGCCGGCCCACCTCCTCGTCCAGGCTCCGGCCCAGCCGGCTGTGTTCCTCGTGGAGCTTGGGGTCCTTCTGGGTGACCACCACCTCCTGCACCACCACCTTCTCCTCGGGCCGCCTCCTCTCCAGCAGCAGGTACTTGCTCTGCAGCTCGTAGACCCGGTCCTCGGCGGCCCGCCGCTTCTGCGCCGCCTCCCGCACCTCCTGGCGGAGCCGCTCGGCCTCCTTCTCCAGGACCGGGTCCTTCTCGTGCCGCACCACCTCCTTGCTCACCGTCTTGGTCTCCACCTTGGACCGCTCCCGCTTCCACTCGTCGCGCTCGCCCTGCAGCCGGATGCGCTGCTCCTGGGCCCGCCCGCTGGTGTTGACCAGCTCGTTGAGCTGAGCCTTCAGGCGGTCGATCTCCCGCAGCACCTCGGGGCTCCTCTCGTGCTTGACCACCTCCTGCGTCACCTCCTTGTACTCCACCTGGGGCTTCTGGGCCCGCAGCACGGCCAGGTCCGGCAGCAGCCCCTCCACCTCCCGCTCCACGCGGCTCCGCCTGCTGGCCGCCTCCTGCAGCTCGGCCCGCAGCCGCGCGATCTCCCGCTGCGTGTCCGGGTCCACCTGGAAGACCTCGCGGACGCGCTCCTGCAGCTCCACCTTGGGCTTCTGCTTCGCCTCCGCGCTGTACTGGCCCTGCAGCTCCTGCAGCTCCTTGGCCAGCGCCGCGTTCTTACTCCTCTCCCCCTCGAGGAGGCCCCGCAGCCTGGCCGCCTCCTTGACAAGGCCTGGGTCCTGCTCCACCTTCTTGGCCTCCTTCACGATCACCTTGGGCTGCACGCTGCGGATGGCCCGCTCCAGGTCCCCGATGCGAGCCTGCAGCTCGGCCACGGCCTGCTCCGCCCTCTTCCTCTGCGCGGCGTCCTCCTCTATCTGCAGCCTCAGGGCCCGGGCTGCCTTCACCATTTCCAGGTCCTTCTCCACCTTGACCACTTCCTTCACCACGACCTTCTCCTTCACCTGCGCCTCCTGCTGCTCCAGGGCCAGCAGCTCCCCCTTGAGCTGCTCCAGCCGGGCGGAGACGGCGGCGTTCTCGGCCCCCAGGTGCTGGATCTCCCCGCTGAGCTGGGCCGCCTGGCTGTCCAGACCCGGGTCCTTCTCGATCTGGGTCACCTCCTTGGTCAGCAGGTGAGGCTGCATGGCCTTCCTCTTGCTCTCCAGCTGGACGACCTTCTGGGCCGCCACCTCCAGGTCTGCCTGCAGGCCGGCCCGCTTCCTGCCCTCTTCCTCCACCTGGGACTTCACCCGGGACAGGCTGCTCTCCAGCTGGGGGTCCCGGTAAAACTCCACCACCTCCTTCTCCTCCAGCCTCTCCAAGGGCCGCTGGGTCCGCAGCTGCAGCAGCCGGTCCCTCTGCCCCTCCAGCTCGCGCTGCACCTGGGCCACCCGTTTCCGCTCCTCCTCCAGCTGCGACTTCAGGGCCTCGGCCTCCCTGCCCGCTTGGGTTGGGCCCTCAGAGCCCTGCTGGGCCCCGTGGGCCACCCGGATGTCCTCACTCAGCTCCGTCTGCAGAGAGAGAAGAAGGGGAGAGCACGGTGGAGGGCAGAGACCCTCCTGCTTCCTGAGACATCCTCCCCAGGAGGTTCTGGGAGGTGGAGCTGAGACCTGAGGTGCTTGGATGCAGGGTTTAGAGGGGACCCGTCCAGCCCAGGACGGCAGGATGCGAAGCAGCGTCCGGGCCAAGTTTGCAAGGAAACGTGTCCCCTCCCAACCTTTCCCCATTCCCCGTCCCTCCGGGCTCCCAGAAATGGGTCCACACCCCCCTGGGGGATGCTGGGTCACCCCTCTGGGTAGGAAAAGCTGGCAAGTCCCTCGGGGGGAGGAAGACGCTGGACCAACAGCTGGCCAGGCTTCCTCGTGCAGGGACGGAACGGCCTCCGTACCTTCTCCAGCATCCTCCTGGCAAACTCCAGCTGGTGCAGCTGCTCCTGGTGCAGGGCCACCGCCTCCGTGTAGGCCTCTGTCAGCTGCTTCTCCTGGGAGGCCGAAGGGAGGGCAGAGGGCCCGTCAGCTCCGCCCGAGGTCAGCCCCTGCCCCAGGCCAGCTCCCACCCGAGGTCAGCTCCTGCCCGAGGCTACAGAGCTGGGCCCCACCTCACCTGGGTCTGGATGCTCTCCTGCAGGGGAGCCACTCGGGGTCTCTTGGGGGCCGACCCCGCCTGGCTGGGCTCCAGGGAGCAGCGGTAGGTGTCCGCCTGCAGCACGTAGTCCTGGGCAGGGAGGAGGGACAACAGGCTGCGGTCAGGAAGGGAGGCTGGGGTGGGACCGCAGGGACCGGCAAGGGAGGGGAGGGGAGGGGAGGGGAGGGGAGGGGAGGGGAGGGGAGGGGAGGGGAGGGGAGGGGAGGGGAGGGGGGAAAAAGAGGGACCCACTGGGGGAAAACTCACCTGGAGCGCCTCCTGCAGGTCCTGGGAGAGGCGGGACACCGCGGCCCTGTCCCGCTCCCGGCCCTGGATCTCCCGCAGCAGCCTCTGCTCAGAAACAGGCGAGAGTCAGGGGTCAGGTAGCACCACGCACAGGACTCCCCTCCAGCCAGTGCCTCCAGCCAGCGGCAGGGCAGGAGGGGTCTGTGGGAAACTGCCTTTCCCTCCCCGGACCCACCGTGGCTGCGGCTCAGGCATTTCACCCCTCCCAGCCTATTCCTCAG